GAGCCCTTTCGACTTGGCCGGAATGAATGTTAGAGCTTGCAGCCCCGGAGGCTGGGTAGCGGAAATCAATCCTTCCTCGCGGGGGTGCGTTCTTGTAGCCAGATTAGTTAAATAGTATTTCAGGGGGAGGGCAGATCCAGGAGTTTGTTTTGCTCATTTAATTGAAATTAATAGATGCCGCAATTGGGGAGAAAAAGGCAAGCACAATTAGGGTTTGCTATTTAAACATCCAAATATTATTATTAAAGTAGATTTATGGAGTTTTTAAGACTATTTTTAACAAATGAAAAAATAAGAAAGAAAATAAAAAGTAAATAGGAAAAAGTACAATTAGAAAAAAATAAAATTAGTTTTCTATCTTAAAACATTATTTGTATTTTTAAATAGTCTTTTAATTTTAATAAATTATTACCGCAAGCTAAAAAAAAACCCTTTGATTTCCCGAAAATATTTTTATCACTGCTCTACCAATCAAATTAATCACTACAAGAACCCTCACTACCGAAGGACTAACTTAGTCAGCATATGCCGCCAAGTGGGCTGTTCTTTTGGCCACATTTCACCGGATTCCGACCCTCCGATCTAATCAAACAATCAAACAGAAATAATCGGGCATATCAAAGGCCCACTACAAGTGCTCCGAAATCCAATTGGGACGGCTCACCGATGCTAGCTGCCATAAATTTTATTTATTTATGTGTGCACCGTTTTGTTTTCCGCTCTGTTTTCTGTTTTCTGCCCTGCGAACGGCAATGAACGGCAACGAGTATATCGGCCCGAAAATCGGCCATGAATATCAATGGGGGAATTGTGCGTCATCGGCACGCGCCGCTTCATCCGATACAGTGGCTGTGGCTTAGCCTCGCCTCCAATCTTGGCCCGAACGGTCGTCCTTCGACGGGGGGTGGTTCTCGGTTTTCGGTGGCCCATTGATATTGTTTTTATCACTGCCAGACGAGGGACCCCAAGACCTGAAGACCTGGCCGCGAGCCTTAAGCACTTGTGCTCCTGATGCGTATTTAATTTTATTTTATTTGGGATTTCTCGCAGCCGAAGGGGAAGTAAATCACGGTTTCGGTATTTTTTCCAAGCCCAAATCGGTCCTTTTGGGGTGGTCGATCCTGATGGACCGGGGCATTCGATATATCGACACTATAAACATATGTGTGCAGATGTGAGCTTTTTTTTTTGATCCGGCTTACACTTGTCCCATCGAAGAAAACGACTGTGGATGGAAAAAGTGACATCGAGTGCCGAGTGTTGATTGTTCGTCATTGGCAAATAAGATAAATGAGTGTCTACCCTCGGCAGCAGCTGAAGCTTTCGTATTAAATTCATGAAAGTTAAGTGCTTGGTAATTGATGTTATAAAATATTTATGACAGACAGCCCAACATCAGGCAGTTCCGTTGGCAGGACGGAACAGGTAGGCGAGCAAGAGTTCATACCTTTTTAAGTGTCGCAGTCGTCGTTAGTCCTGCGTCCTGAGTCCCTAGTCCTTCAGGCGGACTGATGGCCAAAGTTAGATTTGGCTCTAATTGACATTAATTATTTAAAAGGACGTCGTGCGAATCCTTCGACCTAAGTGCCGCTCTTTGCCCTGCGGTGAAGCTGCGAGCCTTAGAGCTGCTCAAAAAAGCCAGCGATAAATAAGTTGAGCAATTGGAAACAGTCTGCTGCTTTAACTTCGAAAACTTGCTGGTGGAATGACAATTGAAAGCAAATAACTATTTAGGACACCGGAAAAATGATTATATTATGCACAAAGTATTTTTAAAAATACTAAGGCATATGATTTTTTTGTATTTAGCTTACTTTAGAATTAATAATTAATTTAATTTAATATACTACGAAATTAATAACTCAAACTCAATCATACCAGTTTAAATATTAACTATGTACGTTTATTATTTACTTCATGAAAGAATTAATAAAGAATAAACTTTTATCAAGCTTTTCAAGGCAACTTCTTGGGAAATTAAACAAAAGCGTAGTTTAATTTTAATTCATAAAAAAGCTTAAACGCCATTACAGTTAGACTAGTCTTATTCTTGAATTTCGTGAAATTTCACAATTGGATCTAATTCAAAAAATTAAAGAAAGAAAATCGTATTACATTTATTAATTCAAATTAATAATAAAGAGCTGTTAAAACATATTAAGGATTAAATAAGATTTAAAATATAATTTGAATTTAATTCGAAGAAAGTTTTCTGTGCCTTTTTGCAATCTTTTGTTTCTAACAAACCCTTCGCATGGACATACTGTCTCAGTGTACCCAAACATTTCGACACCCTGGCCAGACGGCACTCAGGATTTTGGCTTGGGCCACTCTCACTTGACCGGGCAAAAACAGTCGCCCTACTGATAATGATGCTGTTGGCGACTTTGTGTTTGCTTATGCCGGTAGCCTTGTGCCCCTTGGTCCTTGCTGCTAGCAGGGGCTGGCTTTGATGTTTCGCCAGGATGATGAATTATATTTGACATCTATGTGCTTGGCTCCCCCTTCAGCGGTATTAGCACACATGTGTGTACCCTGCCGCATTGATACTGGGTGGCAAAAGGTATGGGAACTAATACGAGTACTCGTGCATGCGCACCAAAAAACCACCCAGCCAGGCAGCCAGCCAGCCACCCACTCTCGTGTGATGAGAGCCGCACTTGGATATGTTTATTTTACTGTCAAAACATTAAAGTGAACTCCCGCCGAAGCCGCCGCTCGGGGTTGATTGTTATCAGGGGGCGGTGTCGACAGCGGTGTACCTTGTCGAGGGTGGAAAACCCACGGGTTCTTGGTCCTGGGCCTTTTGGCCACCTTCAGCTTGACTCCGCAGACAAGTCTATTTGCATATGTTGACGGCATACTCTAACAGATCCTGGTGGATTTCCTGCTTAACGGCCGTGGCCATCACAACAACCCCTCCTTAAATGGACACACATGCCTTTTTGACAACTCATAACAATCACTCATCATAAACAAAGTCCGTTTTTATGTGTGAGATGGGAGAACCTTAAAAAAAGTATCTTTTATAGACTGACACAAATTGCAGGTGATGTTTCAGCTTCTTCTCAAGAGGGGGAAAATCCCTTTAGCTCACGAGTTAACGACTTGCCAATTAGTTAATTAGCGAACTCCTGCTGCGGCCTTCGGACGTCTTAGCCTCCTGATTCCTTCGGCTAGTCACTCATTTATCTATGCAGGCAGCCCTTGCGGTCAATTAAAACAATCCGCAAAATAATTGCCAAGAAATTTATTCGCTTCATTAACTTGTTTCAGGGAAGTCAAAGATGCCGGGAAAGGCAGATGAAGAGGAGGCGGCAAGTTAAGCACGAAGTCAGCCAGAAAATTAAGTGAAATAATTAAATCTCAATCGGGATCTATTAGATTTGTGTAGCCTTTGGCATTGGCTTTCGGCCACGGCCCTTGTCAGCAGTCGGCGGTCGAGGGATGAACACACAAATAAATTTGGCAGGACGGCAGCTAATCTTCGCCCAGCAAGGGGTTAGCGTTTGGCGTTAACGATGGGGTTGAAAGTGCCAGTCCCGGATTCGAAAGTGCAACAATCGCAGGGCCAAAGAGGGGTTTTCGGTTTTCAGCATTCGGCTTTCGACTGACAACGACCATTTATCACCCACGCAGCATCTTTCATAATCAGGCTGGCCGGCAAAATGCAAATGACTCAGTCTGCGGAGCGGAGTGGAGCTGCATATAAAGGACCCAACCCGGCCGGGCCGCGGCTTTTAATTTACAACGTCCTACGTCCAACGTCCTACGTCCTACGTCCATGTATCTGTATCTATACGTGCAACCGGGTCCACAGCTCTCAGCTCTGAGCCACAGCCGCCATCTTCGCCACAATGCCAGACAAAAGGTCGACACGTTCCCATTCCGACCGACTTAATTAATTTATGCACTCATGGTCGGTCGCAATGCATCGGGGTCTCTCGGGGATTCGGGATGGGGGAAAGGGGATTGGGAACGGGGAATGGTCAGGGATGTCGGCCAGTTTAGTCGGTCTTCAGCCAAAGGGGGACATCATTTCTGGGGCTCTCTTCTTGAAAACCCGCCTAATTTTAAAATTAATGAGCGGCATCTTGATGGCCGATGGCAGCGATAAGCCCCATGATTTTGACTGTCCCAGAGATCCCAGAGAGCCCACGTCCCTGCCGCTCGATCACAGCTTAAGTAAATCACGTGTTTATTGGCACTTCACTTACGACACCGTCACCAAAGAATATCGGAGAGACCCCGTTCCCGATCCCGGGTCCAAAAACAAAACCAAACCCAGAAACCAAAACGAAAACGAAAACCAAAATGGCATCACTCTATAGGGCCTGCACTCTATATTGGATCGGGAACGGGATCGGGATCGAGGGAACCGAGCCGACTGACCAACGTCATTAATTAGCTGGCCGTGAAGTGTGGGGAACGAATGGAAACCGACGTGTTTATTTGGTTTGTATGCCCGTTCAACAGCCCAAATGTATTGGGGCTTCATTTAGGAGTTCTTTTGTTTCAAATCTTTTGCCGCCCGATACAGTGAGACCTTGAATATGTAACAGACAATGTACTTATAAATAGTCATTAATATTTATTAAATAATTTTAATATGAATAAATTGTGATTATTATAATACGATAACGAGCTTTGTTGTGAATTCTAAAAACCATCTAAGTAAGTACAAAGTCAGATTACACCTTTTCATTATACGAATTTTTAAATTCCATAAGGAAGTCAAATTACACACTTTTCCTTATAAGAATTTATAAATTCTTATAATTCTTATTCCTTAGATGGTTTATAGATTTCAATGTAAATTAATTTATTAATTGGCGCCAAGAAAAAAAATTCATTTCGGATATAAGCTTAAATATTTTAATTTTTAGCATGGAAACATCAAGACCACTATATCAACACACCCCTGTAGTCAGCTCGTTGTGTCATTTATTTTGTTTGACCGGAAACTCTTTATCTTACGGTTAATCTTCTTGATATTTCAGATGTGGAAAGCCCAAATGCCGATGCATTCTTGATTCGTGGCATTAAGACAAAAATAAACTTGATTTTGGTATGAAATTGATTCATTCATTTTCAATCCATTGAGTAAGATTCTTATCCGATGGATGAGTCGGGCCAGCATCGCCACTTCCAACTGTGTGCACATCCAACAGGTAGTCAAACCAGACATACTGTCTCCACTTGAAGTCCATCGGAGTCTTTCCCTCTTCTTCGCTCTTTTAAAACGTAAGCGTACATATCTTTTGAATAGAGGTAAACATATATTTTCATAATTAATGAATTCGTTTTATTTTATGTCAGATGATGATGCTGAAGGCTGAGAAACCACCAAAGCAAATATGTTTGTGGAAATAAAATCAAAACTTGGTTTCTGGACTAAAAAAGATTTTCTCGGATTTAACATGTTTGTATATTCGTCACTTTTAAAATTTCTGAACTTTATAATTAACATTGACATTTACTTTTAGCTATCCAAAAAGGACCTTTGGCGTTCACTGTTTAAATGGCAAGGGTTTGTGTATCATTTTAGTTGTAAATAATTTCTTTGCAAGCACTTATTCACCTTTTTATTTTACAGATCACCTTCACTATACCTGTGGACTGCATTTTTATAAGCCGGATGGAAATAAATATTTACAATTTGCAATACCATATTTTAGGTATTTAGGTGTACATAGATAATGTGACGACCACTAAGAAAATTGAAAATTGCAATGATGTTTTATTTTTCCAAATGAGAAATATTTTGGATAATATTATAAAGATATAAAAGTATTATTTCAAGAAGTTTTTTTTTTAATACTACGTACTAGAAAATGTATAACAAAAGCGTCCTTTTTTAAAGGGACATTTTTGGGAAAGAAGAATAATTTTTTGGACTGTAAAGATACATATAAAAAATGGATTATTAATTTAAGAAAACGGGATTATTTATATTAAAAAACATGTCAATCTCTAAAATATTTGTTGGCTTTTTTAGTCTGAGAAACTTTATCTTTTTACTCGGGAATTATGGACACGTCATTTTCAATAAAAAAAGTAGTATTTTTCCGAATGAATACAACCAATTGTCCCAATATTAAGTGCGATTTTGCGTTCAGTTTGAAATAAAATATACATCACAGCTTTTAAACTTTAAAGAATTTATAAAAAAAAAATCATGTAACCTTTTATACACAGTCCAAAAACTAGCGAAAAAGATACAGAAATTTGTTTAATATACCCGAAAGTGATGGGGATAGTTTGCTGAGCTAAACTATTGTTTGGGACCTTTTTTAGCCGAATGGTGAGATAACATAATTGACATTCAAAAGTAATAAGCTTAATTTCCTTTATAAAAAAAGCAAGAACTTGTCAAAAAATACTTTTGTTCCTACCTGAAAGTAATGAGGATCGTTAGCCTACCTTGTTAGGTGTTCAAAACAGTCATTCTTTTAAATTAGGCACAAAAAACACCTAGTAAAGTTTACATTTTGGCCATACGGCCCAATACTAATTTCAAATATAGAAAAATAATAATTATTAAAAAAAAATAATATAATTGCATTCGAAACAAAAGCAAGAATTACTGTTTACATTATTTTGTACGAACTGATATATCAACAAATTTTTTAAATGTTTCGAACGTTATGCTACTGAGACTTATAAGAATTATAATGTACATTTTGTATGTTAGTGTATTTTAAATCGACTATTTAAACGAAAGCATTTTTGAATGAAAATTTTTTTTTAATATAAAATATAACTAAAAATGAATTTTTAAAATCCTTTGTTTAAGCAGTAGCTTTTAAAATGCTGAATATGTGACAACAAAATGTAATCGTGCCCATTGGCCTCCAGGTCGTGGCTTCGAGAAAAACGCGGTTGAAATGCGTTATGTATGCCCAGAAGAATATAACTTTCAAAGAATTGGCCCGATTGAATTATAGTTTTGGAAGTGTAATCTTGCAGCTTTAACTAATTAAGAAATTATTTTTTATTTCAAACCCATTGTAACCCGTTACCTAATCTTATAATGGGCTCAGTGCTCTTAGTGGCCTAGCTAGAACTTGATCGACATGGGTTTTCAATACAACATTATAATACCCGTTACTTGTAGAGTAAATGGGTATATTGCATTCTTGCAAAAGTATGTAATAGGTAAAAGGAAGCATTTCCGACCCTATTCTTGATCAGGGTCCATAGCGGAGTCGATATAGCCATGTCTGTCTGTCCGTCTGTCTGTCCGTCTGTCTGTCTGTCCGTCCGTATGAACGCTGAGATCTCGGAAACTACAAAAGCTAGAAAGTTGGGATTACCCACACATATTTTTGGGCTTTTTACGCAGCGCAAGGTTGTTTCAGCCGAAGGCCACGCCCATCTTACGCCCACAATCGTTAAACGATTTTAAAAGGTGTCTGGCGCCCACACCTTTAAAGATTTCGGAAAAGTAATAAATTAGTTTTATTGTGTTTATCAATACCTATTAAAATGTAAAAGACATTTTTCAAATCGGACAATTCGATTAAAAGTTACGAGCGATCAAAGTTTTATATCTCCCTCGCTGAGTACCGGGTATCTGATAGTCGAAGTACTGTACGAGTGTAGCGTTTTTTCTTGTTGTTGTTAACCAAATTAAAGAAACATTTTTTGTAAGTGTATATTTGATATTGGGATGTAACTAAAACATTTTGATGTATGTACAAAATCAGCCAGCTTGACAGGATAAAGTTCAGTTATTGTACAGATAAACTTTTTAAAATAATTGTTAATGTTCATAACAAATAAAAGCTGACATCTTGAACTTTCTCAAAAGAACCTACAACCAATTACAAGTTCAATTAAACCCTCCACAAAAAGTTTGAGTTAATTCAATTTTATTTGGCTTAAGCGAAACTGATAAACGAAATATGAAATTAAATATTTTCCTTAAATCTTCTGATTGTCAAGAACTTGAACATATTTCTACTATAATAATGGTACCATTAAATTTAAACATTTAAAAAACAAGGAAAGCTTTTTTTCATTTATGAACTCAAATAAACTGTTCGACTAACGAAGACAAAATTAAATGATACAAGGCCGCTAAACTCCACCCCCTAGAGAGTTTTTTTCGAGTTAAATAAAATTGGAATGAAGGATGCTTTAGCTATGAAAGCTCGTCTGAATGTAACTAAAACAAGAGAGAACGCTATAGTCGGGTGCCCCGACTATCAAATACCCGTTACTCAGCTGAAGGGAGTGCGAAGGAGATGAAGATAAAAACTTTGATTCGCCGTAACTTTTTAACGAATGGTCCGATTTAAAAAATTTGTTCTACATTTCGATAGGTATTCATAAACACAATAAAACTGCATTTTTACTTTTCCGAAATATTGAAATTTTTAAAATCGTATATAAGCGATTGTGGGCGTTAGAGGGGCGTGGCACCCTTTTGAAACAAACTTGCGCTGCGTAGGAACTCCTAGAATCTGCATGCAAAATGTCAATCCTCAAGCTTTTATAGTTTCCGAGATCTCAGCGTTCATACAGACAGACAGACAGACAGACAGACAGACAGACAGACAGACAGACAGACAGACAGACAGACAGACAGACAGACAGACAGACAGACAGACAGACAGACAGACAGACAGACAGACAGACAGACAGACAGACAGACAGACGGACAGACAGACGGACAGACGGACATGGCTAGAACGACTCGGCTAGTGATCCTGATCAAGAATATATAGTTTATAGGGTCGGAAACGCTTCCTTCTACCTGTTACATACTTTTGCACGAATCTAATATACCCTTTTACTCTACGAGTAACGGGTATAATTATGTAAGTGATCCTGAAAAGTAATCCAAAACTTAAAAATAGTTAGATAATGTTTCTCCATATCCATTAATAATAATAATAATGGGTGAGCCGATCACGCATACGCAACCGTTGACATTTGGGATCAGCCCGAAAGTATGCAACGATTTCTTTAATGTATTTTTTAAAGCATACTTACGAACGTGTATAATTCCAGTTTACATATGTGCTATGCTGGGCAATTAGTAATTAACTTAAACACGATACTTTAATTAATAGGTTGTTAAATACCTTTCTTTAAATAGTAAGTCTTTGTGCAGCTCAAAAGTAACAATAGTTTTACAGTAACTTCGGAAGCTACATCAACGGAATACTTATTTCTAAAGATTTTGTATTAAAATTAAATCAAAGTTTGGTAAACTGCTGTTTATACAGATATAATATTTTAAGTTTGTGAATTTAAACTTAAAATTTGTAGTTCAGGTTACCTTATAAATTTATAGACTTGTCTTGCCTTCTTAATATATCTTTAAACTTGAATATTTTAAGGACAGGTAATTTGTAAAAGAACAATGCTCAATCACCTTAATATCTACAATAAATTTGATCCAGTTATTGTGCATTGTTATAAGTCATAATATCCCAACCCGAGCTCTGGTCGATAAAGGACGGCTGCGAATATATTTATTGTTTTCCGTTTACTACCTGAATACGAATTAGCATCGGAGCCATCCCCGTCCGCCCCTGCCAGCATAACGTTTGGGTATATATATAGGAAAGTAATGTCTTGAGCAGTCCCCGGATCGTGCCCCATAAATCATGCCAAACTGAGTTCGGGCATAGAAAGTCAAAGTAAACTGCCATCACTTAAAGTCATTCAAGCATTTATTTATGTCAAAACATTGTCCGCTTAGCTGCTGCGAACCTTTTGGCGAGGCAAGAAGGCAGGGACCCCGGGAAGCCGAGGGGTCAGTTGGCCAGTCGAATGTATAACTCAATTATAGGCGGCTGTGTGCTCACCTCGCAGCGGGGTGTCGGCGCATTAGGCACTCCTCCATATCTCCTGGCCCTCCTCCCCTGAGTTGTGTTTAGTGCTAGACGATCGCACAATACTCCTGCGGCGATCGGGGTCATTGCGGTTTCGGGACCGTCTCCCCGAATCTGCAGGACGAGATAACCGCGGAGACTAGACTGCATAGATGTCATTAGAAGCCGGGCACCGATCTTATTCCAATCCGATCCTCAATGAAACGTCCTCACTGCAGCTTGTCTTTATTATCTGGCCGGGGATGGGGATTCCTGTGTGGCCCGCATGCGCAATCGGATCGTACATTTTGCCCACGACCGACCGCCAAGGAGCAGGAGATCGGTACATGATTCTGTTTAACGAGAACAATGTTCTTGCAGTCTTGCAAACCCTGGCCACACCGCAGTTGCTTCGTTGGCGATCGCCTTTATTCACAGTTCCTGGGCGAGATCTGGCGAGGATCGGGAGGATCCGAGACCAGATGAGGGGTAACAACTACACGATGGCAGTGGATCGTGCAAAAGTACAGCGACGGAATGGCAGGTGGCGCCGGCGCCTATTTGAATATGAAAAGCGAGTCGGACTCAAAGGCTTGCAAATTTGTATTGTGAGCTGCTGGAGTATCAGTTTTTATGACTTTTCAATTTGGTTTATTTCGAAATACTGGATGAACATTTATAAGGACTGCTTATTTCCAGGGACGCTAAGTAACAGTTATTTAAGACTTTTATTTTAAAAGGCGTACTTAGATTTTTAGATATTTTAATCTGCAATTTGGCTGATTTTTATGCACTTTAGGCATGGACAATTAATAAATTATTTGTTTTCCACATTTGTTGACATGCGTATACTTTGTGGACAAGAGTAAAAAGAGTGTTGTTCTTAAAGTTTAAAGAATATTAATAAAAGTCTCTAATAACTGTCATTTACGGTCCCTGCTTATTTCAAATAAATGGTTAAAGAAGTAATGAATAATGATTACAATTTTAAAACGGAATAATTCTACAAATTATCTTCGAAGAAGCCCAAGAGCATTAAGCTCTATAGATAAAAATCAGATATTTTAAAACACCATTATACAAATATCAGCACTTGATCTTGAATCTTTTTCCTGTTTTAAGTCTAAATTGTACATTTCTTTTTGCTTAGTAAATATGTCATAGTCATCCCTGATACTATGTTTGACACTTGATTCTGCCCAACGAAAAGTTCTACAACAAGGATTGTAATAAACGTGCGTACGCACTTCCTTAAATGGCAATATAAATGTCAATCCAGGAAGGTAAGGATTAACAGCAGACGCTTGTAGCGACACGCCCTCCAAATGAAAACAGTGGCGTAGTTAATATGTAATCCCCGACACGTGGAGTAAATTATGTTCCTTGAAGGGCTGCCATTAGGACAAGAGCGTCTTGGACACTCCCCACAATCTGCAGTGATGAACCATAAAATAAAATTGGGGTGGAAAACTTTTAGTACTTAAATAATGATCAATACAGCTTGACTAACCAAGAACTAGAGAATCTTTAACTATTAAAATGGTTCAAAGCTTAGGAAAAATAATTATCATCTTATTGAAAGGATGGAAAATAAATTAATTTAATAACTCGGCAATGCCATTCAAAAATTCTAAAATAAATGTTCTGATGCTCTAATCTCATTCCCACGTTGCAAGATCTCGGTAGTTGCCATTGCCGCTCTCCATAACATAACCCATAAATATTTTTATGTAACCTACATTTTAAAAGGGCATGACGAAATCTTAACGTAAGACTTGTCCTTTCGGTGAAGATTCATTGTGAAACTGGCGCCATTCAATGTGATTTCTCCTCGCAGTCCTTTTGCCTCCGATAATTGTTTCTTATCGGCGAGACGGTTGTGAATGACAATTTTTGGACAATAGCTCGGCTGTGGGTCGTCAACGCGGCACCGTCGCCAGCGGGGGCTATATATGGTTATAATTGCCGGGCAGGTTGGGATTACACGACAGGTCGACCTGTCTGCAGCACTGCCCCTTTCCCAGTCCTTTACTCCTCCTCCTCCTCCTCCATCCCATCGCAGCGTATCTGTTACACAGAGTAATGATCGTAATGTCGCACAAGTATCTTTAAGATGCATTCGATATTTCAGAATGAACTACCTGCCTGGATGTCCCTCGTCCATCGTCGAGTCAACAGCAAAAAGGCTAGTTAATCTGTGCCGACCTCGATAACGTTTTAGTGCTCAATTTTGATTCTACGCCCTTTGTGGTTTGGGTCTTTACAACTGTTTATGCCTTTTATGATTTTGTCGTGGCCGTTTCGTTGCGTTTCGTTTCTTTTCGATTCAAGCCTTTTGGTTTTGGGCTTGGTCTTCGTTGTCGTTGTCGCTGGCGGCCGGTCCCAAAGAGAATCTGCCCTCGGAATGGGTCCTTTCCTCTGGCCCTGTTATGGCCGTAATTTAATATCCTAGCTGGCATTCGACTTTTGTTTAATCATGACAGCCGACCGACTTACTCGGCGACACAGTGGTTATCGACGAATGCTATTGGCGTTACGCCGCTCGCTGTTTCACACTTTTGCCCTTGGCTCTTGTTTGAGCCCACTGTTTCGGCTTGTTGGCCAGGTTCGTGTGCGCGGCCATTAAGGTTTTGGGTCCCCCTCTCTCTCTCGCTCTCTCTCTGATTTCCCAAGTGTCCGATGCGATCCTAACCGATCCGATCCAAAACCGAGAACCTTCCCATTTCGGCGCTCATTTAAATATTTTATCATCGCCGCGCTGGCAAGACACTAAAGAGAACTTTATATCTTTTCGGTTCGCTACGTTTTTATCACTCGAATGAACAAAAACATTTGTTACCAATCAGAGTTCTTAATTTTACGGCCTGTGTTTGCGACAAAAGTGCCGCTTCTTGCCTTCGGACTCCGGACACTGGACACTGGGCAGTGAAAACTGAAAACTGAACACTGGACCCGATCGTTTGTCGGCTTTGTCGCAGAAATTAGCCGCGTATTCCTTTAGAGCTTGTATGCGGCCGGGACGGTATCTTAATTGGCTTTGATGCTGCGATGGCTTTAGCTTTTCATAAACGTCAGGCCCGGACATCTCCCAGTCCACACATTCGTATAAACATGGGCCGGCCTGAGCGGAAACTGGTATCTGGGAATGGAAAACAAACACATGTGCTTAAGGGATAGCTAAATTATTTTAAAGCTCATTTACTTATGTACATCCAGCGACACGGGATCGGGTTACAATAACTTTTCGATGGCTGAGTGGATCGGGTAGCGTCCCTTTGGCTGCGGACAATTTCAGGGAAATGTATACATGAAAGGAGAAGTCAGTGAATTAAGGAGTTTTCAATATAAGCCACTAACAGACCTTTAACACGACTTGTTGATGAGTGAGTGGGTAATTTGGCGTCCTATTACTGTAAGAGAAAAACATGTGTTCGTAAATATTAGTAATTATTGGTTGCTTAAGTACACAAAATCATGAGATCATTTTACAGATGATCTTTAAAATGAACTATTGTGTATCGTATTATTTTATTATTTTGTTTAAAATATTTAATTAATAATAATTAAAATAATTAAGAAGCTGGAAAGAATTATTTGAATGATAATACAACAAATTTGTAATAAAAGAGGTATTAGAATTGTAAGCAATAAAATACAAGATGTTATAGATATACTATCAAAATTCTTCCAGATAAGTTCATTACTCTTCTTGGAAGTAACCTCAAGTATGACATATTTTAAGTGCATATTTTACCTGATGTTCAATTCCTTAATTCGGCAAGCTCACTCACAACACATAAAAACAAACATTTCAATTATTTATGAGGGCCTATTCTTTGTGAAATAAACGGAATAAATAGATGCAAGCACACAAAGAGAAATTGCAACAATTGACAAATTGCGGCATATAAATTTCCCCCACTGAAGCGGAGAGATGTCAACTGTCCCTTGGCCGTGGATAAAATGTAGAGCGTTGCCTTTGTCTTTAAAATTATGTTAACTAGCCGAAGAATCGATCGTGCGGGCTCGAGGGGCAGAACATAATTTATTCATACGTCAAGCAGACTGTCCATTTAAATGCGAGCATTTCCAGTCCCACAATCCCCAGTTCATATGGGATATGGTATTATACATGGGATGTGGGATATGGTATATGGCCAGTGCCAGTGCAATGTCAAACGAGAGAAATGAGGATGAGTGGAGGGAAAATAAAACGCAAATAAAACGCAGCATATTGGGAAAATTTCACGGTCTTTTGGCCGCCAGCTAGCCAACTGGTCAACGGTCGCTGGCCGAGGGCTAATTTATAGGGCGATTCGGTGGGTGTTTGTCCGTTTGTCCACTTTCCTGTCCGCTGTCCCCTGTCCATATATTATACCATACCATTTCAGATTCAATTTACGGTGGGGGAGTGCCGTGGAGTGCGTAAGGGCCAGGTAAATTGAAAAATGGACATTTGTAGTTTGATACCCATTTGGAGTAGAACAAGGGCTATCTGCTCTTTTAGCCCGCCACTGCAAGTGGTTGATCAGGGTCGACTTTTCGGCTTAGATAAGCTGCTCCTGCTTCGTTTCGTTTCGTTTTCCCCCCTGATATCTCGACAATGACAGACGGCGGGCAGGGGTTAAAGTTAGGGGTTGCTTTCTCGGGCTGTCTGGATCTGAATGGGTCTGCTGGTTTTTCGTTTTTCGACATGCAGATGTGACAGGCTGGGCGCGGATTTGTTTCGTGTATCTTTGCGACAACTTGATTTTTTGTCAACGCGCGATGCGCTTTTCGGGGAAATCCTTTTAGGCCTGATGGGCTCGCCTTTCCATTCCGTTCCGTTCGCGAGTGCATTTGACACTTTGTACTTGATGGATTACGTTAATTATTGATTAAATGGGCTTGTACTTGTCAGGACAAAGTAAAATCCATTAGCTATTTGAATATGGTCCTGGCTCGCCGTGGCCAAATTAGATTTAAATTTTTTCGGATTTTATAATTTGACATGAACGGGCGCGCGTTTGATGGATGCTCTGGGATATGAACGGCCAATAAAAAAAAGTAAAGGAAAAAAAAACTGAGAAGAGGGTCTCTGGGTCCCCCTGCGGATACTTACCGCGTTGACATTCCGCTGCTGTCGCCTCCAAGCGCCAGTCTCTCGCAACACACACACCTTCGGATTCGGATTCGGATCCAGATACAGATACTCGGCACTGTAAATGGGATGCATCTGGATGCGACTCCCAGCGAACGGTGGACACGCACTAAAAAGCCGGCTGCGGCGATTCAGATTGAGGAGATAAGGCGCGGCGGGCTCTTTGGGAGATGCCGCGTCGTTATTTTTCGGTTGTCGCTTCATCTGCTCTGATTAATTCCCTCTGATGAAATGCCGCTCCCCAGTCACCAGCCACTTGATGCTGCGAATGGCCGCACAGTTGCGGTCAAGACTGAAAGAGTTCTAGGCCATATAAATCTATCAGTTGATAGCAATTAACAAATGTTCCCATG